AGGAAGAGGTTATTTAATGTTCCTCAATGTCTCTTAGCACATTAATTTTAAAAAAAAAGGCATTAATAGCCAATCCCATCCGGTCAATCAGATTTGAAGATAAAAACAACATTCAAAATGCCACTTGACTAAATAAACAGTGCTTTTCACATTGTAGGTACTTGTTTCTATAATGCCAATAATATTAAGTCAAGACAAAGTCAAAGACAGATATTTACTCAAAATCAGAATTACAAATGTAGAGTTCTTGGATTCGTAAGGGGGAAATCCTGTCTCCAGGATAAGGGTAAGATTAGTCAAATTCCTGGAATTGTAAGTAGCTTTATATATAATATATATGGGGAACTTCCTGAGAGTCCATCTGCTCTATGTAATTTCTCAAACTAGGTAAGAAAGTAAAAGACCAAAACAGATACGGGAACACAAGCATCCTTACCTTCACTTACCATTACCTTAGAACTTCTATAAATCTTAGAAGTTTTAACTTTGATAACTGTATGAAGGACAATAAATAGCCAATGTTTTGGGTTCTTCTAAAATTTATTTTTCTTGTAAATAGCCCCTTGAATTGATGAAGAGAAAAGCCTATGTCAAGCAGAAGATTGCTTGAGATTAGAGATTTAGGCAGGAGGTCCGGCAGGACAGGTGTCGGCGCAGTAGACAGCAGAGCCAGGATGGGCCTCCACAATGGACAGACCCACCCCTCAGCTGCATCTAGAGAAATCTGGTAACTAATCCAAGGAGAAAGTGACTTCAATGTTCAACGTAAGATTTGGAGCAAAATCCCATGTGTCCTTCCTCTGAGACCTCCCTATGTCCAGAAGGCTCACCTTGAGAAAATGCAAGAACCTTAAAGGGTTTACTGAGGTTAGGGGTTTGGCCTGAGAAACTGGCTCCCTGCTTTCTTCTCCAAAAAGCAGATGATGCTGAGGTCTCCATAACCCTCTACCTCCAATCCAGGGAGAAACAGAGGGTCCAACCCCACAACTTCTCCCCACACCCAGAGGGAAAAGCAGGCGGCCCGCTCCGCACCTCCCGGGACACGGGACTCTCCCGGGGCAGAGGTGAGACCGCCAGGAGCCCGGCCAGAGAGCCCCCCACCCCACGCTGCAGGGCCATGGCCCTGGGCTTGTCTGGGAGAGGACACACACATCCCTCAGCGCCTCGCCTCTGAGGATGGGAGCAAAACCACAGTCCCTGCTGTTTCAGAGGACAGGAGAGGGAGGACAGGCCTGCACCAGAAAGAAATGTGGGAAGTCAGTCGTCAGGCTAAGGGCAGGCACGTCCACAGGCATCTCTGCTCCGTCAGGGTGAAACCTTTGTGCGGCCTTGGCCCTAGGGAGTCTCTTAGTCATGGCCCCACGGTGTGGAAAGGGGGTGTAATTATCCCTTCAGCTCTTGGCTGCTTCCACGGCAAGTTAATTCGGGGCCCCGCATCTCTCTGACAAGCCGCCCCGCTAGTGACTCACGCACAGCCCAGGTGGCGCCACCTCTTCCTGACTTCCTCCTTTTTCTCCTTCATTTTGTGACTTTGAAGATGACTCTCAAAAAGAATTTTTTCTTTTTTTCAGAAACACAGAATGAAAGGGGAAGTCTGAGAAGCAGGGAAAACTAGGAGACATAGGATGGCAGGAAGGAGGGTGTGGGGGCAGGACAGGAGGCCGGAGAGGGCCCACATGCGAGCCAGCATGCCACCCCGGCCACCACCACTCAAGACAGGGGGACCGAACTGGCCTCTGGAAGCCTCCCAGCTTCAGTGAAAGTCAGGTGGTGTCATCCCCATGCCACATATTAGGGGACAGAGAGCAAAAGGGTGGCTGGCCCCAGGTTTTGGGCACTAATACCGAGCAGCTGGCTCCCAGACCAGCCCTGCTGCCTACACATACTTCTAGTCCACATTAACACAGAACACACCAGCCTCAGACCACGTTTGTGGACACACAGCTTCCTGTGGCCTCAGCCCAGCCACGTGCCCCATGACTGCCCAGGGGCTGAACACCAAACCTCTCTGCAGAGGCACGTGGCCGAGCACCTCTCGGGCATCTCCTGTTGCGGGCAGTTTCCCAAGGGAGCCCGCAGCTCAGCCGAGAGCAACAGCCTCCTTCCCACTGTTCAGTCTGCTGCTGTCCAGGGACACACCTGGCCCAGCACAAATCACTTCAGGTCCCCATCCCACAGCCACTTTGGGGTGCCGGGGGCTGCTGAGTGGAGGTGGAGAGAGAGTTGCCCACCAGCCAGACTCCTTGACACCTTCTTGTCAACTGCTCTGTTCCACCTCTGTCTGCTGGACAAGCCCCTTCTTTCCAAACTGCTTGCCGTGCAGCCACTGGCTCAGTGCATTCACTCCCCAGTTTTTAGTGTCACCCCCACTTCAGGCTCACTGCTTCCACTCACTGTTGGCCCTCCCCACACGCTAAGCAGGGATCGGGTTCTCTTTCCTTCTTTTCCTCACTTGACATTGTGGGGGACACCACTGGCCCTCTGGGTAAGTCTGTGCCCTGTGCCAGGGGAATATCCCTTCCTGCCACACCCAGCACATGTCTGGCATCTTCCTGACACATTAGCCCTAATGATCAAGGGGTTGACCAAGAAGCTGGGCACTAGAGCTAGGAAAATGGGGGAAAAACATCCAATTAACTACAAAGTGATCAAATGGCCCCTAGATTCCAGCAAAAATTAAGCACAGCCCCAGCAAAAAGTCCACAAACTTGCCACCAAGTCCCTGCCTGCAGGACATGTGGTGTCCAAAAGGTAGAACGATGGGTGAGAGCAGGTGGGAGACGCAGCCTGACCTGGGCCTTCTCAGCCTGTGTGCTTGGAGACCGTCTGTGCCTGGAACCGACACTTCTCCCCAAAAGGCAAAAAGTCTGCAAGACGTCCTCGACCGGCTTCACCGAGCATCTCGATATTCACAGCCCACTCCCGCTAAAGATAAACCAGGTCTAACACATACTATTCTTATTTAGTCATTTGAAGCAACCGAAAAGGTCATCAATCCACAACACTCTACATTAGGAAAAATGAGCTAAAAGGTGGGCAGGCTTTGACTTCATTCAGATAACAAAGAGCTAGGAGGGCTCCACTGCCAAGGCCCCTGGTTTCCAATCCTTTTTTATCTCATGGGACAGCCCAGCAGGATCTGACCTCTGACACTAACTTCTAGAAGTCTGGGTAGGCAGCTGAGATGGCTGTCAAGCATCAGGGGGGAAAGGAGGAAAGCACTCAAAACCATGCACGTGGACAGAGCACATTTTGGCCTGACACTCTCATAGTGGTGCTTCTAGTTGTTTGTGATGCTCTTGACAACACAGGGTTGGTGGTATTGATTTCTTTACTTACAGGTGAGGACACGGGCTTAGAAAGCCTGGACACCTTGCCCCAGGTCACACACTGGGAAAGCTGGTGGACCAGGGGCCAGATTCAGGCTTCTGACCATCAGGCCAAGGGTTCTTTCTATAAACCAATGCTAACAAAAAAAAGGCCCCCTGGAATTAAATCATCGTGAAAGATTATCGTCTTGCTACCGGAGACCATTAGACCCCAAATCACTTTTCAGGAACGATGCGTTTGCTCTGAGGATGCTCTCTCTCTGTGCATTCACATAGAGATTATGTCAGAGGACATGCAGTTAGAAATAGGTATGTTTGGCTTAAAAAAAAAATCATGATTGTATTAGTCTCTTGAATAGCAGCCATGCAGAAAGACCAGTATTTATAAATAAATTACATCTTAATTTGACTTTTTAACAAAAACATCTTAAAACCAAACATCTTGAGATAATGCAGGGGACTCAGAGAAAGGTAAGAAAGAGGTATAATTTGAGAATGCTGGAAAACAAATTGTGTAGTTCAATAATCTTTTGCTTTTCCTTCAGCTTCTTAGATAAGCAAACTCTTAAAAGCAATTCATGTGAAAAACTCAAAAGGTTAAGCTAAGTGGGTGAGCAGGCATTAAAAACTAAATGCAAGTTATGTTCATTCTGTGCACTAAAACCTAACCATTAGTGCATGCCCCTTTTTTCTACCCTGAAAAAATAAACAGAACAAACTATATTTTAAACACGATTAAATTGCAAAGAGCACAACACACAGTTGTCATGCTGTATATCTCCAGATTCCCAATGCTCTGTTCTATCAACACAACGCCTACAAACTGCAAAAATAATCATTGCCAAAGCTATACTAGGTGATTACATAAAATCCTCCTAAAAACCTGAAAAAAAGATTTAACCAGGAGTACCTAAAGTGAAAACTCTGCTTACCTTGTAGAAAATGGTTCACTTTTGTGGATTGTCTCTTACAGCATTAAGTCCAATATAAGTGTGTGCTACACCCCAAGGAAATTTTACAAAGCACAGAATTATTTACCATCTTCAAATGACTTGTCTCTCTTTTCAAACGTATTTTACAGAGTAAATATTTGAAATTTCCCTAGGACTTTCTGATAGCTCCCTATTTCAAAGGGACAGAACTATTTCAGAGATCAAGTTAAAGACCCATATGCACCCTTGGAATGAGAAAGGAGACGTTGACAGAGCCACAGAACAACTGGTACCCAAAACACATTCTCTGATCCTGAGCTGCAAAGAGTGCTTGACGATTACTGCCAGGATCCCTTCTGGAAAGAAAGGCATAGCGTCTCATCTGCGTAACCGTCTTTAGACATTTTAGAGTAAAATCAACTTTCAAGACAGAGAAAAGAAAACCATGCAAGCATGCCTACATTTGGATCAGAATCTACATCCCTGAGAACCAAAGTCCTCATTTACTTACATGCTGTACATAAAAAGGAAAAGTTAAAAGAAACAGGCTCCCTCTGGGAGAAATGATTGCATCTACAGCCGGCTGTTGGGAAATGAAGAGGATGCAGGCTCTCTCTCACTCTCATCCCCGGGCGATGAAAAAAATCCCCAACTGCTGTTCCAAATCACAATCACAAGGACCTCCTAGCGCCACCAAGCTCTTCCTCCAGGGCAGCACCGGAGGCTGGGGAGGGCTCACCCTCTTTCTCTGGATTTCCACCCCATGCTGGGAGCCCGCCTGGCTGGGAGGACCCCAGGTCAGGGCGCACAGGGAGACGGCAGAACTAAGGTGCCACATCTTCAGAGCCAGCTCAGGGAGCTGACGATGGAACACGCAGCGTGTCTGCGGGGACTGCTTAACACACCTCGAGTTCCTAGAACATACCAGAAACTCTTCCAACCCCCTCACTCAAAGAGAAATTGTTTATTCCTTTAAACTCTAAACTATTACAATAGTGCAAGCTAATTGCTAACAATACTGAAAAAAAAATCCCCCTGACAGCAGAGGTTGACAGGGGCACACAAAGAGCTGTGACAGTAATAGGCACCCTTGAAGAGAAGGAAGGCAATCAATTATGAGCCATTTGCAGAAATTGTGGGGCTGTCAAAGGCCTGACTTACAGCTGTGCTTCGTCAAGCCAGGCTGCATTTGATTTGCAAAGGAAATTATTCCTTACTCTAAAGTCTAGAATAGTGTTAGTAAAATATCCCAAACAACTCAGGTTCAACCAGTCTAATCTGAAAAGAAGTTAATGACCCCTGAGAAGGTTAGATGGTCCAGAGAGGGGAGGCAGGGGAATCAGAGGCAGGTCTTCTCTCTGGAGGGTGACCACCTCCTGTGGACACCAGCAGACGGCACCAGGTGGATCCTGAAAGATCCACGTCCAGCACATTCTGGACAAATCATAAAACTCCAAAATCACCATTTGGAAAACAAAAAAGGACCACTTTTAGGTATACCCTTATGTATCTAGGAAGCTAAAATAATAATAATAGTAATCATACAGAACAGATTTTTTGTGATGTTTAAACTCAAAACTTTAACTAATATCCACAAAATTATAACTTTTGGTGGTCACTCATTCTACTTTTCTAAGGAGCAAGGCTGTGTGAACTGCTAGGCATCTCATTAGGATTTTTTTTTTTTAATGTACCGAAATCCATTATGATGGATAATCTTCAAATTTGAAAAAGGTGAGATGATTATCACTTTAGACTTGGGAGGAATTTGGCAGCAAATGCTTAATACGCTAATATTCTTTCAATAATTCTTCTCTTCTGTATTTGGCATTTATTTCTTGGCTTTCTCCTTTAACTATTTTAGCATGAAATTAAAGCTCAGAGCTCCAATTTTAAGCTGAGCTGTGTCTTCCACTCCTTTTCTAAGTTTCTAACTGATGCTCCCATGTTCATCATGTATAGGCATTAATTATGACAGGCATTGTTAAGTAATAAAGCTGGAAATGGCCTTAACATGGTAACTTTTTGCATATCTATTTTCTTGAATCTTAAAGTAAAATTTGGAAAAGCACTTAATTTCCTTCTTCAGAACTTTAATGTGGAGCTCAAACAGATTATACCAGAGAGGAAATCATTATCCCTGAGGTGGTCAGTGGCTTCCCCTAAACTGCCACACTGCGCCAGTGCCCCACAGGCACACTTACCTTAAATAGACCCCCTAGCTTCTTGACTGTTTCAGAAATATTTGCTTTTTTAAAAATTTTAAGACAATCAAAATACATTTATCTGATGCTCTACGATCCATTATGAAAAACGAAGCTACAATACTGGGTTCCCAAAAGTAAATAACCCACCAGAGATAGCACAGAAGAGTAAGAACAACAATGCTGATGGTTTTAGTTTAGTTTAACAAATTGCATCATGGGGGCATAACCAGACCAGCGAAGGCGACTGAGTGTCTGCTCTGTAGGAGGACTTGGAAAAGGAGGAGATTTTAGAGGAAGTGAGCAGGGATGGAGCAGAGGACAGAGGGGCGGGAAGAGAGAGGGACTGGAGAAGTCAGGGGCCACTAGAATTCTCTCTGAAGCTGGCAGGCTCTAACCTGGCCCCTCCTTCCCACAGTGATCGTCACCAGTCACGAAAGGGTGCGCCACCTGGCCACTCACCAAGGGACTGGCTGCTGGTAACACTCTAAACCCAAAAGGGTCCTGCTATAAGTTTTATTTAAAACTTAATTTAAATACCTGCCATAGCTTGTATTTCCTCCATTATTACTTTGTATTTAAGACAAAAGAAATAAATGTAAAACAGTTATAACTTTAAAATCAATTAAAACTGTACCCTGTATTAAAATAGATCATGTCAATCAGACCAGTTCTAAAAGGACAGCTGTTTATGGACTATAAACAGTTAAAAACATAGGGAAGGAACAACATAAGGTGTCCTTACTGGACAAGGACATGGAGAAATGAGAACCTCGTGCACTGCATGGAAGGATGGAAGACAGTGCAGCCCTGTGGTTCGCTGCACTGCTCCTCAGAAAGCAAAACACAGAGTTACCACACGACCCAGCCATTTCACTCGTAGATGCCTGCTAGAACTGAACACAAGGACTCAAACAGATATATGTATGTCAATATCCACTGCAGCCTCATTCATGATAGTTAAATGGCGGAAACAATCCAAATATCCATCAACAGATAAATGGATAAACAAAGTGGGGTACATGCAGTGGAATATTACTCAGCCTTAAAAAGGAGTAAAGTTGTGATGCATGTTATACGTGGATGAGCCTTAAAAACATTGTGCTAAATGAAATAAGCCAGGAACTAAAGGGTAAATACTATATGATTACATTTATAGGAAGTACCTAGACTAGACAAAAGAAACAAAGTATAACAGAGGTTACCAGGTGGGGGCTGGAGTGGAAGGTGAATGGGGAGTCATTGTTTAATGGGTACAGAGTTGCTGTTTGGCATGAATGAAGTTCCAGAAATGGATAATGCTAATGCTTGCACAATACTGTGAATGCACTTAGCAACATTGCAGTGTTCACTTAAAAATAGTGAAAATGGCATATTTTATGTTTTGTATATTTTATCATAAGAAAATGACAACAGTCCAAAAACAACTTGTCTTTGGGCAAAAGAAAAGGAATGGAATATTAACATAACTTTCAGAACAACTAGGCTTAGATTTTCCTGGTCAAAACCTTCCTAACATACGAATGGCCATGTCTGCACTGCTCTTTGGTGGCACGCCCGAAGTCGGGGAGGGGGCCGGGCTGGGGTCAGCGGTTCCTATTAGTACGGCAAATACATACTATTTTCTTTAAGGAAAAAAAACAATGCTTCGACTGCTGGACCCCGGGATAGGACACCTCCATCTTCTTTTCTCCCACCTCAGGCGAAGGTGGGGATCGTCTGCGGGGTCCGCAGTAGAGACTCGGGCAGCACCTTACCCGGAACACTTGCTCCGTTTTCTCCCTGGGGGAGAGCTGGTCCAGCGTGCCATCAGTCTGACTCCTTCTCAGGCCAGTTGTGATGTCAGGGACATTACTGAAATCTGCGTGGAAAGTGATAAAAAAATACAGAAAAGTGAGTTTGGCCATCTGAAGAAAATAGTAACAACTGGTTTATAGATAAAGTGAGAGAGAAAAGGAACCTAGAAGGCTGTACAAAGCCATCCTTAATGACAGTGACATCACAAAACGCACATAGCCGGTCTTCTGAAATAGGTATGGGATTTCACTAACTGCGAAAGTAACATCTTCTGACTGTTTTTGTCAAAGGAGACCAATGGCCAATCACAAAAACGACTCAAATGCCTTCTCACTCCTGTTGTGGTGTGAACTGTACTTCACTAAGCTCTGATCTTGAATAATTTATTGGACCAAGAATCAAACAGCAGTGGCCATTGGTGGCACTTCCCTATTTTGGGCTGAAGGAAAAACCACCGCAGTCATCTTGGAAATCAATGATGTAATATCATAGATGACTGCAACCTACAGCTTCCTCATTTGCGAGCATAATTCTTCTTTTGCTGACATCGATCGGTTTATCTTCAACTGAAAGTCCCAAGAGGAACAGCAAATCTTTGCTAGAGTAAGGGTTAAGAAATAAAATGAAAAGCAGAGCATGAAGTTTTCCAGCCTACAACTATACACACAAGCCATCCTCAATAATGCTCTCCAGTGGTTCTCAAGTTCACAGATGCAAAAAAGATGGAAAGACGAGCCCCTATCAAAATATGACATAGGTTTCATTCTAATTCTTGTCATTGATAAACTGTCCCCTCAACTAGGTAAAAGCAGATGGTTTCCGATCTCAGTCAGCTACAAGAAGTCATCGATGTCAGACCCATCTGAGTTGACACAGGCTGAGGCAGGATGGACAGATGTTGACAAAGAAACTGTTCAGCACAATGGAGGCAAGGACAATAGTCTCCAGGGGACCTTTGGAAGCTATGGGAACCTTAGAAAGTTGACAAACCTCATGGACAGGAGTGCTGGTCCATGATCATGCTGGTATCACTTATCATTAGAGGCAGCTGCTCCTAAGACAAGAGGAGACCCAAAGAAAACATCTGAATGGTCTAGAGAATTCTAGAGCTTCAATTTCTTCTTCCTTTTGACTCTCCCAACACTCTAGCCCCACCCAGAAAAGGACCAGACAGTCCAGGTCAGATTCCACTGCTGGTGGCTGTAGAGTAAGAGAACGTGAGGCACAGTACTGGTCATAAAAGCATAAGCCATCCCTGGGGAATTTTGGGGTAGCAATGACAGGTGGGAATCCTGAGCTCACCTCTCCCACCTAACATACCACAGAGGCAATCCACTCGCCAGCAGGCTGACGGCCTCGGAAGCGAGGTTAGTCCCTGACCCAAAAGTGACCCATCACTATTCCTGCCTCCCTGCCTCCTTAGGCCGCTGTGTGCACCTGTGCAAGGGAGACCAACCAACAGAAACCGCAAAAGGCCACGGCCCCCAGTCCTGCTGTATCAGCATAAACACACCTTTCCATCCATCCATTGTGCACTTTTGAGCACTGGCTGTTTTCCAGGTGCTCTGCCGGGTGCTGGGGAAACAATGACAGATGAGGCACAGTCATCACCTCAAGATGAGCTTCTAGTCCACGGGGGGGACTGATCGGTGAGGGAGGGAGAGATAGAGACAGTGACAACAAAGCGTCACAGATGATGTGAAGGAAGCCCACGGAGGGCTGAATGGGGACACTCAGGAAGGCAGTCAGCTCTCCCTGGGGCCCTAAAAGACGTAATACAAAGGAGACACTTGAGAAGAGTCTTTAAATATGATTATTTGCCTTTAAAGCTGATGGTGGCCAAGCAGGATGGGCAGTGGGGAGAGGGGATTCCACGAATGGGATGCAGCTGAGTAAAGGCAGTCACAGGAAGAGCCCATAATGATCTGGGGGCTTGTGGGGTGTGGCTGCAGATGAGAAAGCGGAGCAGGGAGGGAAGGGTGCCCTAAGATGCAGGAACTGGCAGAAGGCAAGACCTCGGGAGAAATGGGTTGGAAAGCTGCAGCACTGCGAGTACTAAGTGTAAGGAACCGAATGACGCGATGGAGCCGCAGAGTGAGGCCATGGGGCTGGGTGGCAGCGCCCCCGCCCGCCCCAGGGAGCCTGTGCACAGTGAGCCATGAAGGGGGCCCAGGAGAGAACCCTGGAAATGCCAGTCACAGAGGCCCTCAGAGGAGGCACCTCTTTTCATCAAGAAATAACAAAGAAGTATATAGGGAAATCAAGAGAGAGTGTCACAGAAGCCAAACAGTGGAAAAGCACATTACCTGGGAACAGAATCAATCACACACGTGTTATCGTTGCCTTTTACCTTGTAAATAAAGAGCTTCAGTATTTCCAAAGAGTTGCATCAAGGACAGGAAATAAGACACACAATCGATGTATTTATTCATGATGAAGATTTCTATGCCACCTGCTATATGTCAGGTATGTACTAAGTTCCAGGGGTACAGAGGTAATGGGGACCTCGAGTCCCCCGACGGGCTCAGAGATGGCACAGGCATGGGGTGCTCTGGAGCTGAAGCAGCCAGATGGATGCTGGTGAAAATAAGATGGCTGCTTTCGAGAGCAGGTGCCAAATGAATTCTGAGTCATCTATTCAATATATGCACAAAACTTTGGAACTTAAACACTGAGAATTCTCACAACCACTTTTTACCTCTTACGAAGACAGTATGTTTACCTGGTAACAGAACATTTGATGCCATTCCTGTCCAAGCCCCGCCTGCCACCAGATGAAAAGCTTTGCCCTGGCTCAGGGGGGCTCCTCTATCACCTCCAGCACCCCTTAACCTCAGGGAACCTTTAGGTGCAGCTTGGATCCTCTCTGAGTCATGAGCTTGGACAAGACAGATCACGAGAACCAACTCCCGCTGAGGCGGGCCCAGCGATCCGAGAGGAGGAGGCAGCCCTGGACGGTTCCCAAGCCCCGCCGAGGTAGGAAATCTCGGAGCTGTTTCACCACCCAGATTTCACAGTGGCACAGTGGTGTCTGGGCATAAACAGAGTCTCCGCAGAGACTGACTCCTTTTCTAACCCCACCGCCGAAGCCATCCCAGAGAGAACGAAGCACGGGGGATGCCAGGACCCTCCCATGTCACCAGGACCTGTATCCCCATCCAAAGTAGTGTGCCTTTTGCTTCCTATCTAGAGGAGAAATGAGAACAACATTGGTCTTGGGAGAACAGCAGACTTGCTTTAGAAAAAAAAGTGCAGGCCAGTAAAATTTGAATGCTTATTTACAAAGCTGCTTTAAGCAGGCACTGTGCTGACATCCTGTCCTTGGTGCCAAATGCCTACGTATAGCCCCACTTACACTGTGCCCACGACTTGAGCACCAGCTGCTGAAGGGAGTAAATATATCCTTCCCCTCCCAACCAAAAAATTGGCTTCCCACCTTGGGGAGCTTCCTCCCTAGTGACATACGCACTGTTAGGGTGCTTTATCCCCGTCAGGTAACAGGCACGTGCTTCCTGTCACCCCCCCACTGCCCCAATCTCAGCACACTTCGGGACAGACGTGCAGACTTGCTCCAGAAATGTCTTCAGCTAATGACTGCCAATAATGAAAAATATATAACAAAAGTACGAATTCAAGTCAAGACATCTATTTACATCTCGTAAATATACCCTTCCGTCTTTCTCATCTTATTCCTTGTGGAAATTCACACCCTGGGGTGGGGTCTAGCAATGTGAAATATCTCACATCTAGTCTGGCCCGCAAGAGTTCCTACACAGCAACTGAGTGACAGCGCCTCTCCATGCTGAGCCACTGTCACAGGCCCCCCCATTTGGAGCTACTCGTTCAGTTGATTTATTCCTTTATCATTTGGGGGCTGAGCATTGCACGCCCACTGGGTACCAGGTGCCACGTCAGATGCTGCACCTTGGGAGCAGGCTTAGACATCTTTCTCCAAAAACAAACATTTCTGGAGGGTGACGACATACTTGGTAGGCTAACCTGGAAGACACCTGTCTTCCGGCCCTCTGGGTCCTCACAGACAGGGAGGGAAACACGGAGCCCCACGCGGGAGCCGACCCGTAACAGCATCTCCCTGGGTGTGCATCGGTATAGACTCCACCAGTATCACTGTCAGCCAAGCAGCTGGCAACCCCAAATCCTTTGCAATTACAGGGCAAAACCTGTGTTCCAGAAACATCCTGGGTATCACTTAAAAATAGAAGCATCAGGAAATGCCAAAGTTAAGGTTGCTTTGCCCACACAGCTTGTAACGTGAATTCAAAGTTTACATTTACATTATCTCCAAATCCAATTTAGCACAGTTAACATGCAGGAGTGTAGGCTTGGCCATTTATTTTCTCCAGGCAATAAGAAGAACCAAGCTGTATCCACTGACATGCCCATAGGGGAACTCTTTGGGAATGGTTGGCCCTGGGAAGCCCAGGAGGGGGCTGGGGAGCTCGGTGATGTCCCTGCTGGCCTGCCACCTGCTACTGACTCCTGAGGCCCCCCCACTGTGCCCAGCAGGCAGCCCCGGGGTTTGGCTCCTCTAGCTGGTGCCATCTCATAATCTCCGTCTTGCTGGCTGCCTCCTCCTCACTCAACCAGGTAGCAAGGGAACANATGCAGGGCAGCCGGAAGGCCCCGAACTTCCTAATGACAAATCATCCCACACCACTAAACTACATGCTAATTGCGCCTTGGCATAAGGACCAATGAGACCCACCAAATGGTTATGCTAATAAGGCATATGGAGCCGCACCAACCAGGTCAGAGCATGAGAACTATATAAGCAAGCCTCTCCTTCCCCTCTGGGTCCTGCCCAACTCATTTGTTTCACAAAGAGCTGAAGAATAAAGCTTTCTGCAGAAGAATCCTGCTGTTGTTGCGTGCTGTTCTTGCCGGCGAGGACGGGGCGCGCGACAGCAAGGGAACAGGCGACCAGTTCTTCCCAGTCCCAGGATACCCACCCAGGTAGCAGCCAGCAGAAGCTAGAGAGACCAGGCAGCTTCTGGTTGTAAGGGGGCAGCTGAGGCGCTCTGCCTGCCTGCCTGCCGGAGCCTC